GTTTGTGCAGAATAAATGAATAAATAAAAACAATTAATGAAGGAGAAACATCAAAGTGCACTGCTCACTTGTTTGTCAGAGCAGTTGCATGGCCAGAGCCCGGGCTAATTCCAGCAGCAGCGAGGGCAGAGCAGCTCCACGCAAGAGCAGCTCCATCCCAAACTCCAATCAACCCTGATTTTTGGTTTTTCTCTCCTTTCCCTTGCATCCATCCGAAGTGACAGCACCTCCTTATCCGTGGAAGGCACGAGGCAGGCTTTGGGAGGCAGGATTTGTTTGGCAGCTCTGCCAAAGGAAGGGCAAACCCTGCCTGGAGAGCTTTAATGAATGTGGCTCCAATTAAGGGGCTGCAGCAGCTCCTGCCTCGCTCGTCTGAGGCTCTGGGAGCCTCTCGAGTGCATCCAACAATTCCATGCAAATCCACTTTTCCCCACTGCTGCTCCTCGGTGCAATTCAATGCTTTTATTTGGAATTTTTTTTTTTTTAAGGAATAAAAACTACCTCGATGAACAGTGATGGTTATCAAGGGGGTTTTGTTCCTTTAAAAAATATTCCAAATAATAAAATGATTGAGTTGTTGGGATGGTTTGGGCTGGGGAAGCTCATCCACCCCTCTGCCATGGACACTTTCCACCATCCCAAGCCCCATTCCTAACTCCAGGCATCACTTTGATGACCCAAAGATATTTTCCTTCCTCACACACAGGGAACAAAACCCCTTAGGGCAGCAAGAACCTAAAAAAAAACCCCAGATCCCTAGAAATTGCTCCCATTGGAAGATTTCAATGCCATCCTCTCCAGCCCCTGGGATGGGCTGAAGCACACAGGGATTTTTAGGAATGTGGCCTGCCCAAATTCCAGGTGATCCCCTGGCTCAGCCCAGCTCTGTGCCTTCCCTCTCATCCCTGCCCCTGACGTTTCCACCCTAAAATGAACCTGGCTGTGTGATTTGGGGGGGAAACCCAAAAATTCAGGTGCCAGGGGCAATCCCAGCCCCCTGACCCACATTGCAGAGCTCCTTGCTGTGCCCAGAATGAAAATCATGTGAGCAGAAATCAATTCTGAATTAAATGTCAGCCAGGGATTAGGCTGAGCCCCACTCAGTTCATCTGGGACGTCACCAGGATTAAAATTCTTGGCTTTCCCAAATGTCCACTGAATTAAAGGCCTGTGCTGTTCCCCTTGGGATAACTGGAGGAATTGCACTGCAAGAGATCCCAAAATCCCCAAATCCTGCTAAGCACAGGGAAATTCTCTGTTCCACTCAGAGGAATGTCATTTTCTGTGACAATCAGGGGTGCCAGAGCACACACATCCAGGCATGCAGCAGCTCCAGGGCCTGCTGCCTCCCATTTTGGGCACAATTTGGGCACCCAGCCCTCAGCAGGGAACCCCCACAGCCCAATTCCCCTTCCCAGAGCCTCCACATGTCCAGGGGAATGAGCTGGATGAGCACAAAGGGCTCAAAGTTAAAAACAAACCGGGAAAAAAGCCCAGGGGACCCACCTTGGAACATGATTTTTGTCCTGTCCAGAGGAGCCACTGCAGTTTTAGCCACAGCCCCAGCCAGAGCCCCAGACATCAGGGAGTTCAGCACCTTCTTCTGCTCCTGGTTATCCTGGGGCAAAAGCATTGGATAGAGGAGAAAAAAAATAAATCAATGCCACAAGGAATAATATTTCACCTGTTCTGCAGCATTCACCCCGGGGCCAGGATTTGGGTCAAAATGTTTCACTGAGTTTCCAGCACAGTGAATTGCTGGTTGGACTGTGAGGCAAAATTCCAAGCATTCCTCTTGCATGTGTTGTTTTCTCCCCGATATTTCCCTTTCTTCTCCCTCCCCACGATTTTTAGGCATGGGCAGAAGGGAAGTTTCTGGAAAAGAAGCACCCAAGCCCTATTCCCACACCATTCCCAAGCTCCTGAGGGTAAATCCAGGCACTTTTCCCCCTCTGATGGGTGGAATGAGAGGGATTTTGCCGCTGGAATTCCTGCCACAGCTCATATTTATAAAATCAGGATTTTTCTCCCACAGAGAGCAACAACAACAACAAAAAAGCCACAAAATGTAACCCCGTGGAGGCTGTGGAGGGAGAACAAGCCCAGGCTTGATGTGTGAACTTTTGACACTGGGTGGAAGAGAGAAGTCAACATTTTCCTTGTGTTTCCCAACCCCAAAGTTAATGTTTATGACCCAAAACCCCTGGATCAGCTCAATTCCCCCTCCCCAGCCGTGCAAAGTGAACTTCAGCCCCAGATCTGGGTTAAAACCCAGCAAGGCTGGGAGGCACCTCCCTCTTCCTGAGGCTCCAAGCAGCCCAGGAGCAGGGAAAGCCTGGAGGGGTGCTGCTGGAGCAGTCTGCCACCTCAGCCCGGGCTGGGAGTGGGACTGGCACTGGGAACTGCCACTGGGAACTGCCACTGGGAACTGGCACTGGGATGTGCCCTGTGTGCCACTGGGAATAGTCCTGTGTGCCACTGGGATCTGCCCGGTGTGTCACTGGGAACTGTCCTGTCTGTCACTGGGAATGCCCTGTGTGCCACTGGGAATGGTCCTGTCACTGGGATCTGCCCTGTGTGCCACTGGGAATGGTCCTGTCACTGGGATCTGCCCTGTGTGCCACTGGGAATGCCCTGTGTGCCACTGGGATCTGTCACTGGGAATGCCCTGTGTGCCCCTGGCAATGCCCTGTGTGCCCCTGGGATCTGCCCTGTGTGCCACTGGGATCTGCCCTGTCTGTCACTGGGAATTGCCCTGTGTGCCCCTGGCAATGCCCTGTGTGCCCCTGGCAATGCCCAAGCCCTTCCCAAGGGGATGGGAAGCCCTGGATCCCCTCACCCCCTGGACTGCACAAACTGCAGCTTTGGGAAGTCCAGAGCTCAAACCCAGACTGGTTTGGGGTGGAAGGAGCTCAGAATTCACCCCATTCCACGGGCAGGGGATCTCCCAGCAGCCCAGGCTGCCCCAGGCTGGCCCTGGGCACTCGCAGGGATCCTGCTCAGGGAACCCCAGCCCAGCCAGCAATTCCTTCCCCAAATCCCCACCAAGTCCCCACTCCCCGGGTCCTGTCCCTTGGCCCAGCCCCTGCTCTCACCTCGGCAGGAAGGCGGGCTGGGACGGGCTCCACATCCCTCTGGAATCCCACTGCACCTTCTCTCACACCATTACCCATACCAGTCACACTTGCACGGGGCCAGGAGAGCTGCAGCTCCTACATGCAACCCAGAAACCAAAGGGAAAATGTCAAAAATGGGAAATATCCTGGTGAGACAGCACGGGCAGGGGAGTGACCCGCCCCCAGGGCCACTTTCAGCAGGAAATCCCTCTCCCAGTTCCCTGGAAAAGGGCATTTCCAGGATCCTTTCCCTTCCTCCAAGGTGGAAATGGATTTTTAGGGGGTGCCAGATAAAAACTGTGCCACTCCTGTCAAGCCTTCTCACCCCACAAAGAACTCAGCTGCAATAAAACACCAAAAGATCCAGAATTCCAGGGAAAAGGAGCAGATCCTGCCCCCTCAGTGTGAATTTTGGCGTCTCCTTGGGACTGCTGAAGGAGACACTGGAGAAGGGAGGTGGAAATTTAAAATATCCATAATTTCCAGGGAAAAGGGCAGATCCTGCCCTCTCCCAGAGAGCATTTTGGTGTCTCCCTGGGACTGCTGAACAACAACACTGGAGAAGGGAGGTGGAAATTTAAAACCCTCTGGAAAAAGGGGAAAAAATAGTGCCAGGAATGAGTCCGCAGGGCTGGCAGGAGCGAGGGGAGTTATTTTGGGAAGAGAGGGACCCGGTGCCTCACACGTGCCACCAAGGCCGCTCTGGGTGGATCTGCTCTCCCAGGACTGCCTCTCCTCCCAGGGGGTTTGCACGGGTTTCTCCTGCTCTGAGATGCCCCAAACCCAACCCACAGGAGGAAAGGTCAGCCTGACCTTGGCTGCAGAGTGGGATGAAGGAACAATTCTATTTAAATGGAAGAATTCTCTTTTTTAGCTCTGACTTTCTGAGATTTCTGCCTTTTATGCTGCAGCTTTTCCAGCCTGGAATCTCCAGGGCTGGAACTGCTGCTGTGAAAACCCTGGAGCTGCTGACAGAGGGGCTCTGCAAGGACAAAATTCACTTTTCTGAGCCACTGAGCTGCTCCAACAGCCCCAGCGTGGAAGGCTAAACCCTCCAAGGGGTGTTTGATTAGGAAATGAGAATTCCTGAGTTCAGGCACTTCTTGCCCCCAGCACTTCCCCTCCCCCTGCTGCCTGTGGAACCTTGGGCACAACATTTCGCTCACGTGGGGATCAAAAACCATTCCCAGCCTCTTTCCCCCTTTTTTTGGCAGTCTCGGGTGCTTCATGCCTGTCAGCACCTCTGGGACGTGCTGACTGCTGCTCCCAGGCCTGGCAGCAGGCTGCAAACACAAAGCTCAGCCCTGCCGTGACCACTTCGGGAGGAAGGAGCCCCATCCTCGCTCCAGAGTGGGGAGAGCACACCTGGAGAACTTTAATTAGCCCGAATTAACGATGCTTTGGGTCGGGGAGGGCTTTTAGGATCATCTCATCCCACCCCACACTTCCACCACCTCGAACTGCCCTGGCCTGGCCTTGGGATTCCTCTGGGAATTCCATTCCCACCAAAACTCCTTCCCACAGCCAGAATTCCTTCCCAGCTCATTATCCCAGAATTAATGATGCTTTTAGGGAGGACTTTCAGGATCATCTCATGCTCGAGCTGCTCCAGCCCAGCCTTGGGCACTTGCAGGGATGGGGCAGCCACGGCTCCTCTGGGAATTCCCTCACCCCCAAAATCCCTTCATCCCCAAATCCCTCCCCACAGCCAGAATTCCTGCCCAGTTTCCCAACTCCACGCTCCCCTTTCCCCTTCCCTGCCCCTCCAGGCCCCTGGGAATTGCCTCCCTCGGTTTTGTTGTCCCCCCAAAGCTCCTCCTGGCTTCCCAAAACTCTGGGAAATTTGGGGAACCCCAAACCCAGGGATTCCCAACCCCTGAGGGTGTTTTGGGACCTCGGGGGGGATTTAATGGGATACAACACCCCACACCCTGAACAGCACTGCTGGGAAAGCTCCCTCACCCACCCCAAGCCAGCAGAAACCCCACAGGCACCAGCAGCAGAGACCATCTGTCGTCATTATTAATTATTTCTAATTATTATTAATTGTTTCTAATTGTTTCCAATTAATTCTGCTTATTCCCAATGACCTGCAGTCACTGCCTCCCCTTCTCACTCCCCCTTATCTGCCAGGCCTGGAGAAGTTGTAAAATTCCCTTTTTTGGGTGAAAGGTGAAGGAAACCACAGGTGCAGAATTAGCCCTGCCCTGCAGTCAAGGAATGGAGGCCACAGTATCAGATTTATCCTGCCAAAAATAACCCCAGAAACAGAAATGGAGCTGCAGGGCTCAGGAATGCAAAACGCAACTTTCTGCTAAAAAAACCATTGAGAAAGACAGGCCTGGAAGGGAAACTGCCAAATGAAATGGTGCCACTGAGGCTGGGATTATCTCCACAAACACAGAGCGATTGTTCTGGCTATTCCCATTGTTCTGGTTATTCTGGTTATTCCCATTATTCTGGTTATTCCCATTGTTCTGGTTATTCTGGTTATGCCCATTATTCTGGTTATTCCCATTATTCTGGTTATTCCCATTATTCTGGTTATTCCCAATATTCAGATTGTTCTGGCTATTCCCATTATTCTGGTTATTCTGGTTATTCCCATTATTCTGGTTACTCTGGTTATTCCCAATATTCAGATTGTTCTGGTTATTCCCATTATTCTGGTTATTCCCAATATTCAGATTGTTCTGGCTATTCCCATTGTTCTGGTTATTCTGGTTATTCCCATTATTCTGGTTATTCCCATTATTCTGGTTATTCCCAATATTCAGATTGTTCTGGCTATTCCCATTATTCTGGTTATTCTGGTTATTCCCATTATTCTGGTTATTCCCATTGTTCTGGTTATTCTGGTTATGCCCATTATTCTGGTTATTCCCAATATTCAGATTGTTCTGGTTATTCCCATTATTCTGGTTATTCCCAATATTCAGATTGTTCTGGCTATTCCCATTATTCTGGTTATTCTGGTTATTCCCATTGTTCTGGTTATTCCCATTTTTCCCTGGGAGCTGGGAGCAGCAGCAGGGCCCGGGCAATGTCACACAGAACAATTATTCAGATTATTCTCATTACTCTGATTATTCCCATTATTCCCATTATTCGATTATTCCCATTATTCAGATTATTCCCATTATTCCCATTATTCCCATTATTCGATTATTCCATTTTTTCCCACTATTCCCATTTTTCCAAGGGATTTGGGAGCAGCAGCAGGGCCCTGGCAATGTCACACAGTGCAGTTATTCAGATTATTCAGATTATTCTCATTATTCTGATTATTCCCATTATTCCCATTATCAGATTATTCCCATTTTTCCCATTTTTCCCCTTTTCCCCTGGGAGCTGGGAGCAGCAGGGCCCGGGCAATGTCCCCCAGCTCTGCTCCCCAGCCCTTCCTTATCTGCAGAGCTTTATCTCAGCCAGGGCACAGCTCCTGGGGCAGCCACCAACAAAAACTTCTTTTTCCAGGAAACAAAACCACCCCCAACCCCTCCCCGAGCTCCAAAAAGTTGGGGGTTTTTGGGGTTTTTTTTTTTCCCAAAGAAATATCCTAAAGAAACAGTGAAAAAATATTATTAAATCATGTTTTTCCAGAAAATAATTAAATTTAAATTTAATTTTTTCCAGAAAAGAAACTAATTTCTGTGTTCCCACCCCAGCACAGAAATCTGCAGCAAATAAACAAATAAAAATTAAAAATAAACAATTAAAAAATTAAAAATTAATTTCTCAAAGCCTGCAGGAGGCCCCCAAAGGGAGAAATGGCAGCAGAGGGGGGTGAAATTTGAATTATTTGGGATTTCAGCAGCCCTCAGCTCACACAAACTGCCAGGAAGTTCTTCAGCACAAAAAGAGTGAGGGCAGAGCAGCTGAAATCGCCTCTGAGAAACAAAACAAACCCAAAAATAAAAGAAAAGGAGAATTGAGGAGCCCCACGTGTGCCAAGGAAATCCATCCCTGCCTGGAGCCCTGCCCAGAGCTCAGGGCTTGCATTCACCACCACCCCTGCAGAGCCCGGGGAATGGATTATTGCCTGGGAAAAGGAACTCTCATCGGGTTATTTTCTGGGAAAAATTTAATTTTGGTTATTTTCTGGGAAAAAAAAAAATTAATTGAATTATTTTCTGGAAAACTGAAACTTAAATTGGATTATTTTCTGGAAAAAAAATTAAATCTAAATGGAATTATTTTCTGGGAAAATTGAAAATTTCAATGGATTATTTTCTGGGAAAATTGAAAATTTCAATGGATTATTTTCTGGGCAATCGAAATTTCAATGGATTATTTTCTGGGCAATCAGGTCGGACGGCGCTTCACCTCTGGGTGTGAAACAGCAGAACAAAAGTGCATTTGCAGAGCTCCGCAGTCCCTCCCTCCCTCCTGCCCAGGGATTCCTTCCCAGGAATTCCCCAGGAGCTCCTGCAGGGCCCGGCCTGCACAACTGAGGGTGTTTTATTTTTATTTTTATTTTTAATTTTTATTTTCTGGCAGCAAACCTGTCTGACCTGTCCCAAAGCCATCCCAGCTCAGGGCTCTGTGCAACCTCCTGAGGCCAAACCTGCCACAGCAAAACCACCTGGGCAGGGCAGGGAGGGAGCAACCAAAGAAAACCAATTCCATTTAAAAATGCAGTTAAATCCAAAATGAAGCTCCTGGGGTTGGCACATTCCCTGGCCAGAGGATTCTGCTGAAATCCAACCCCGGGCCCTCTTTGCTCAGACCCCAAGCAATCATGTGAGAAAAAGAAATAAAATAAAATAAAATAAAATAAAATAAAATAAAATAAAATAAAATAAAATAAAATAAAATAAAATAAAATAAAATAATCCAAAATTGAATTCTTGGGGTTGCCACACTCCCTTGTCAGAGGATTCCTACTGAAATCCAACCCCAGCCCCTCTTTGCTCAGGTCTCAAGCAATCATGTGAGAAAATAAAGATAAAAACACTAAATAAAATAAATAAAGAATTAAAGAATAAAATAAAAATAAAAATAAATTAAATAAAAATAAAATAAAAAATTAAAATAAAATAAAAAATAAAATAAAAAATAAAGTAAGAAAAATAAAGTAAGAAAAATAAAGTAAGAAATAAAGTAAAAATAAAGTAAAAAAATAAAGTAAAAAATAAAGTAAAAAAATAAAGTAAAAAAAAAAAAAAATAAAGTAAAAAAATAAAGTAAAAATAAAATAAAAATAAAAGAAATAAATTAAAATGGGTGGAAGTGCCCCAGAAACGCGCTGGGAGCACGGGGAAAGCTCGGGGGGAGCAGCCAGAGCACCGCAGGCCAGATGTCTGCAGCCTGGAGGGAAAACACCTCCAGACACAGGAAAACGGGGAAATCCAAAAAGGGGCAGAAAAAATGGGGGGAATCCATAAAGAGGCAGAAAAAAGGGGGAAAAAATCCAAAAAGAGGCAGAAAAAAAGGGGAAAAATCCAAAAAGACACAGAAAAAAGGGGGGGAAATCCCTAAAGACACAGAAAAAAGGGGGAAAAGTCATGAAGACAAGGAAAAAAGGGGGGGAAAATCCATCAAGACGCACCAAAAAAATGTGAAAAAATCCCTAAAGGCACAGAAAATGGGAAAGGCCGTGGACACACAGCCCCGGCCGGAGCAGGGACCGGAGCCCGGGCCATCCCCAGCCCGGCCGGAGCAGGGACCGGAGCCCCGGGCCATCCCCAGCCCGGCCGGAGCAGGGACCGGAGCAGGGACCGGAGCAGGGACCGGAGCCCCGGGCCAGCCCCAGCCCGGCCGGAGCAGGGACCGGAGCAGGGACCGGAGCCCCGGGCCATCCCCAGCCCGCCGGGGCTCCCGGGAAGGCAGAGCCGGGACGGGCGAGGGCTCGGAGCTCCTGACCGTAAATAATCCTGTGTGCACAGCCGAGATCCCCGCCGTGCCCCGAGCCGGGCCTGAGTCTCGCTTCTCGGGGATTGAAAGGGACACAAAAAATGGCATTTATCGTCTGGCAGGGCAGGGAAAGGGACACCGGGGGCGGCAGGGCAGGGAAAGGGACACTGGGACACAGGGAAGGTGGCAGGGCTGGAAAAGGGACACTGGGACAGGCTGGGGAGGTGGCAGGGCACAGAGGGGGACACTGAGACAGGCTGGGGAGGTGGCAGGGCACAAAAGGGACACTGGGACAGGCTGGGGAGGTGGCAGGGCACAGCGAGGGGCTGGCAAGGCGGCCGCAGGGCAGGTTTGGGCTGGGAAAGCGTGGGAAAGAGGGAAAGCAGGGGCTGGAAAGGCAGGGAAAACAGGCAGGGAAATAGGGAGAGCAGCGGGGAAAGCAGGGAAAAGGGAGCGGGGAAAGGGAAAAGGAACCAGGAGGAAAGCAGGGCAAAACAGCAAGGAAGGCAGGGAAAAGGGGCAGGGGGGAAAGGGGCAG